CAGATTGCTATGAGCAGATCCTTTCTCTGGATGTAGCCCATATTATTTTTAATGGATCAAAAATATTACTTAAGTAAATCATACATTGACTCTATTTTCAAAGTTCTTTTGTAAACGTAGAGCAAAAATATTTGCTAAATTCAGACAAAATATTCTGATTAATTTAAAATCTTCTCAATATCTCAACAGATATGGAAAGATATTTAAACATTAATTATCTAACAAGCCAGGGCTGCATTCTACAGGAAACTCTCGTTTTCATTCTTAAATGAAGAGCTTTCTGAGCCAGGGCTGCATTCTACAGGAAACTCTCGTTTTCATTCTTAAATGAAGAGCTTTCTGAGCCAGGGCTGCATTCTACAGGAAACTCTCGTTTTCATTCTTAAATGAAGAGCTTTCTGAGCCAGGGCTGCATTCTACAGGAAACTCTCGTTTTCATTCTTAAATGAAGAGCTTTCTGTCTTTTACACTGAGTAACATCCTGTCTGCTTCAGAATAATGATCTAACTAGGACAAGTTATTCCTCCCTTTCTTATAATTGGATTCAAGCACAACCTTTAATTGTTTTGCACTGTAATAATTTATTTTCACTCCCATAGAGGTATAAAATTTCCCAAATAACATTTCAGTTTTTAAACGATATGCATAAAAACACTACAAACCTGCTTGATGCTTCCCCTTGTTCTTTCCTTCATGAGTCAGAGAATAGGAGAGAGAAGGTTTTGGGGAGGAAAAAAATTTGTTATGCTGGCAGTACCCATCATGATGTGGTTACAAATATTATTAAATAATGATTAAATTACAGTTGGATTTGTTAATTAAATGAATGCTTAAAAACTATAAACAAAGATTACAAACAAAGCAAGCACAAACATTCAAGCATGGATTTGTAACTATAGTGACATAAAAAAAATTAAAATGCTATGTTAATGCATGCTCAACATGCTTATTACATATGTCTAGAGAGAGAGTTGACAAAGCAGTTATTAGGCAAAATGCAGTGCTCATATACAAATAACAGAGAACTGTAACTATCTGCGGCAATAAGATTAACTTAATCACTGAGACTAGAAATGTCTTATAAAAGAACCAATTTCAGACTGATGTGCACTTCTTTTTGCCCATAACTCTCTTGTAATATGCAGAGCTTAATTGTTTAACCTATTTATAAGAGCTGAAAGTGATATAGCCAATGTTACACCTTTACTGAGGAACCTGCATTGGCTGCCAGTCTGTTTCTGGTTCAATTTGAGATGCTAGTGATTGTCAGGTAAGTCCTATATGGCTTGGGTCCTGATTATTTCATCTACTCTATATAAAATCTCCCCATTTGATATGAATCAGCAGAGAGGAATTTTGTGGATCCCCTGTCCTCCTGGAGATAGTTGGAAATCAGCCTTCTCTGTAATGGCCTCCCTCTGCAATTGTCTGCCTCCCAAGGGTAGGACGACTACCTTCGGGAGGCCAGTTAAAATGTTATTCTCCAGGAGGGCAATGAAACCCAAATGCTATGCCTGAGCTACTATTGTTTTATCTGGTGATCTGTTTGAGAGTGTTGTAAGTATTATTTTATAACTGATATTTCTCATTTGTTCTGATACGATAACTGTCATTTTATTTTATGTATGGTTGTCTTTACTGTACTGATTGCAAGCTACATGGAATTTGAGCGTGGTGGTATACCATTTTACAAACAATAAAACAGGATTTTATTTGTGGAAACGATGGATCGTATGCCAAGTTATGTGAAGCAGAACTCTGATAGCTCAATATTCTTGACAGCAGAAGAGGGGAGTCAATTTGTATAGCTTCAACTTCTTCATTAAGCTTTCCACGCCCTAAAAATCTGCTTCAGAGTATTGAGGAACACTGTTCTCCCTTCATTTCTCAGCATCTGTTCTCAGTCTAGAGCTGAGGCTGAAAAGTGAAGGGGGAGTATTGCTGCCCCCTCTGTTTCTCTAATGGGAACCTGATTGCTTCCACAACTAACTCTTTCCATGGCAGAGGGCCAAGTTTGGGTCAAATCCAGGGTGCTTCTGTTTGGAGAGCACTACCAATCCTTAGGCCTTGCATTCCAATTCCATCTTTTCCCTTCAATTCTTTGGTAAAAATGCTGAAAGAATTGGTGAAAAAAATGGGAGAATTCCAAGTAGCAGTTGATTTCATCTGAACCTCATTCTTGTAAAAGTGCATGAACTGAGGTAGTGTGATGGCACAATAAAAGCATTGTCAGGACACAATCAAAATTTCCAGCTTCTGAGGAATTACTCTACATGCTATAATTATACTGAAGCTTTTAGGAATCACATTTGCAATACTGGCTCAACCATGAGATTTCATCATGGCAATTTTCTGAAATTCAAAGATCAGCTTCTTGCCCATCCAATGCAGGAAGATGAAGAGAAGATGGTCAACAAGCTAGACATGTATTATTTTCTTGTCTCTTGTGTCTTTTTAAAACAGCTAAAGGAATGTTTTATCCATCCATATGCCTGCTTCGTATTTTTTTGGCATGTGCTATATGATACTTGATTGCAAATCAAAAGGTCTTTAAAATCCCACATACACATATCTTATTCTTCTATTTTGTAAGGAAGCCTGGTATACACAAAGTCTCAGCTGCACAGAAGAAAACAAGGAGATACTCTGCATAGGGGAGTCTTGTTCAGATTCCACTTATTTTTCATATTGTCCTATTCCTACAGCTTAGTATGGGTAGTTGACACTTTTAATAAAATTGCTGTGCTATACAAAACTATTCCCAAAGCTAATCCAACTGCCCTTTCTGCTACTGAAAGTACTAAAAATGCAAAATACTGGACCAGGTTTTATAAGAGACCTCTATTATTGTAGTGCAGCTGTTTATGTACCTCTTTCAAACATTTTTGTTACCATAATTGCTAGAAACATGCTATTATTATTATTATTATTATTATTATTTATTGTAGTTGGTCGCATAGTCAGCCAGATGTTTAGGCTGGATTTGGCATTTTATCCCACCTATCACGTCCTTCCCAAGGACCTGGGATAGGCAGATGTTGTTTGATAGTGTTGCAGGATGGAAGCTGTTCCAAGTAAAGCTGCCTTTTGC